GCGAACGGCTTCAAGAACCTGCTGGCCATCGCTGCTGTTACCGATGTTGAATTCGCGGAAGCTGCTACCATCAAGGAGTACATCAAGGTACGATATTAACACATTTACACTCCACAGTTCCTAATCAACCTTGAATGAATATATATGATGAAAACGTGACGCGTCTGATGATCTTGGTCCACGTGTCAAAACTAGAAATAGTTGAACCCATTGACGCGTCAAGATCGTTGTTGAATGTCGCGCGGAAGCGCAGTCTGAATTAAACGCAACATGAATATTGTAAGCGCGATCGGCCGTAGAAGTCGTGTGTATTTATCGAGAATAATGGAATTGCAGGATCCGAGCAAGTTCGCCGCTGCTGCCGCCGCTGTAGCAGCCCCAGCTGCCGCCGCTGCCGACGCTCCTGCTGCAGAGAAGAAGGAGGAGAAGAAGGAAGAATCCGAATCGGAGGACGACGACATGGGTTTCGGACTGTTCGACTAAGGGCGCGCGTGCTTACGTCATGCGTGCACAAACGTGCATCTGAAACTATCTTTGTCAAACAAGACCCGGCCCAAACTCTGGATCATTTTATAACTACTTGTTTCTAACATGGAAATAAAATAAAATTGAAAAACAATCCTAAATTTTACTTGTCATTCCGCCATCGTTGATCGCATTTATTTACAACTCTGGTCTCGAGATTGGAGTTTCCAATAAATCCAAGTGTCTTATTGATGTCGTAAATGTGCCGATAGCTCTAATGTCCTCAATGAAGGAAACGTCAATTACGAAGATGGCGTTACCGTCATTGTTGATCGCATTTATTTACACTTTGTCTCGGGATTAGAGTCCAGTAAATCAAGTGTCTTCATTCATATTGTAAATCGAGTGTCAGCGGTGCTGATGTCCTTGATGAAGAAAAATTGTCAATTAGAAGATGGCGTTGCCGTCGTCCCGTCGGTCCCCGTGCTTGGACTAGTTCGCGCATGATCGTTGAGATTTCGTATTGAAATCTAAGAAATCATGCTGCCACGAGTATATATGTCGCACTAGCGACCGATAGTGTGGAGTAGTGGAGCTGTGGAGTGACAGCGAGGATAGTTGGCGGAAACAACCGGTTACAATTGAGCGAACGGCGATCGCGCGGCGCGGAACTTCGGCTGGGGCCGTCGCGCGAGAGCCTTCTCTCCCCCGCCGGCGTTCGCCGATTTTCTCTCGGTGAACCGTGAGGGGATTCGAACCGCCCGAGGATGGGCCTGCTCTCCGAGGGAAGCCCGCTGAGCTGGGAGGAAACGAAGAAGCTGTCCGATCACGTGCGCAAGCATGGGGTTATCCAGTTTATTAACCTGTACAAGAGGCTCCGGGACAGGCAGGGAGACGTTCTCAAGTGGGGCGACGAGGTATAGTACGCGAAATTTCCGCCGAGATTGCAGCACGCGATTTTTAATGCGATAATGCCGTGCCAATTTGCACTGTCATTCTCCCTCTCGAAATCGTGTCGCGTCATCGTGTATAAAATCGCGCCAACTCATCTCTCTTTCCCTCCCCCATAACCTTTAACGCGCCCGAGCGCGCCGAGCGCGCGCGGTCACGTTATTGCGCGCCGCCTTCGCCGCGCGATATAATACAGGCCGTATCAAATATTTATCGCGATGTCATCGAAAAATGGATCGAAGGCTCTCGTGGCGAGCACCCGTTTATCCCCTCCTTGCGTCATACGTTATTACGTGTACATGCATTATGTAAATTCCTTGTATATCTCGACAGGTACGTACGGTACGTCATTATTGCAATTACTGTCGATAAGGATAAGTTGCGTTCGTCATATCATTGAAATTTTTTTTTTTACCGAGTCGTCGGGACTATTTTGTTGCTTCTAACTTGTATTTCTTGTCATACTTTTTACCCTGAATGATTTTATGGTATATTTTATTATAATATGTTTTACCTTAAAGGAGGCGTATGTACTTGCAATCGAAGTAACAAATTTTGTTTAAAAAAAAAGAGTTTTATACACATTTTGAATTATATGCAGTTTTTTAACACGTCCAAATGTCTTGAAGAAAAAAAAAACCAATGGTTGAATATATAGGTCTTTGTCAATATCAGGATATCACGCAAAAAAAAGCTTTCTAATTATATAGGTACTATAAATAATGAAATTCATAATGGTACCCATTTCCAATTTTATTTTCATGCTTACAGAAACTTATCTACCAAAAAAATAAAAAAACAAATGTATCCTATAACATAAGTTATACATATTACGATTATAAAATGTCAGTAAAAATAATAAAATATCAATAAAAAGTTTATATAAACGATGAAAATGTCAATTAATAGAAATCGACTTGAAACAAGTATCGTGAAAACATAATGAAACACGAGCAAACACAATATATTTTGGGTTTATTTATTTTTTTTTTAAATAATATTCTGCAACCTTCTGTATCGATATATCGCACGCATGCACGCATGCATATTTACATACGTGCTCCATATATTTACAACTAGAATATTGCTTATTTATTTTCGTAATTTAAGTTACAAACTGTCCTGTAATTTTTTTTCTTAATATTTACATTAGTATTTAATAAATATGTTCGCACACTTCTCTGATATAACGCAATTGTTTTTATGCAGGTAGAATATATACTCGTAAAGTTCGACGATGATGCAAAAACTGCAAAGCTTAGTTTAAGAGCTGTGGAAATATTAAGAATCTTAAATGAGAAAGAAAACGAAGATCCAGAGTAAGCAACATATTACTGTTATTACAACATATTACTTTCCCTGTATGCATTTCATGATATTGTGTAAATATATGAATATGTTAAATAAGCTTTAAAGTACTAGTTTGAAAGATTAGAGGTAATCTCTATTTAAAATTCAATTTGAAATTCAGGGAAATAAAAAAAAGCTGTAATAAATAATATTCTGCCAAATTTTTGCCATAAAAAGAATTAAGATCCAATTAACATTCTTGGGAAAGTTGTGTTTTATCTATGCGCCACGATTGACTTCATAGAGATATCAAGTTATTACAACACTATTACTTTCGCAGTAATGTAAAGTCACTGTGGAGACCAGAATACGGCGCTTATATGATCGAGGGAACTCCAGGAAAACCGTATGGAGGATTATTAGCTCATTTTAACGTTGTCGAAGCTAATATGCGCTATCGAAGGCAAGAGGCAACAAAATTACTCCAACCTAATGAAGTCTTGATGTCACTAACCGTTTTCCCAAGGTAGTTATAGAAAGAAAAAAAATTACTAATATCTCATAAAGTATTTGGTGTTCTCTCATTAATTTTATTATTTATGTCGCAGAGTAGGAGCTCCTGATTTTACCGATCCCGTTACTCATCCGACACCCAATACTGGTGCCTCTAGGAGTTTGTTTTTCCCCGATGAAGCTATATATCCCGGTCACCCACGTTTCAAGACATTGACCAGGAACATTAGGGAACGACGTCAAGAAAAAGTTGCTATAAACATTCCTAGTATGTGACAATATTACGAATGATATCTTTTTTTTTTTTTTTTTTTTTTTAATCTTAAATCGTACAGATCTCCCATTTGTATATTCGATATGATGTAAATAGATCCTTTTCCAGTTTACAAAGATGAAAATGTGCCACTGTTATTCAAAGAAGATCTTGGCAGCAAGGGAGACGACGGGTCCTCATCAAAGGCAGCTAAAGATAATCACATTTATATGGACGCAATGGGTTTTGGGATGGGATGCTGTTGTTTGCAACTTACCTTTCAGGCATGTAACATAGAAGAAGCAAGAACGTTATACGACCAACTGACACCCTTATGTCCAATCATGGTTAGTGTTAAATAATATTACACTCACTTGACAATTTCGTTTCTTCCTTTTTATTAAATAATATAGCGGCATATAGAGTGGTTTTTTCACGTACATACGTACGTTACAGAAGATTTCTTTAACATTCGACAGTTGGCTTTAACCGCTGCCAGTCCATTTTATCGAGGCTATGTAAGTGATGTTGATTGTCGATGGAACGTCATATCTTCGTCGGTGGACTGCAGGACGCAAGAAGAACGTGGATTGAAACCTCTCAAAGAGAACAAGTTTAGGATCAGTAAGTCTAGGTACGATTCTATCGATTCGTACCTCAGCGAACAGGGCGAAAAATACAACGATGTCCCTTTGACGTACGATGACGAGATATATAAACAACTTTTGGATAATGGAATTGATCACCTGCTTGCGCAACACATAGCTCATTTGTTTATCAGAGATAGTGTCTCCTTATTTTCCGAAAAAATCCATCAGAATGATCTGGAAGATACTGATCACTTTGAGGTGAGATTACAATTGCAATTGTGTCAAGTTTGTAGTTGGCAGCATACATTTTTACCGTCACAAACTGTAATACTGTTTCAGAATATACAGTCTACGAACTGGCAAACTATGCGCTTTAAACCACCACCGCCAAACTCGTCTATCGGTTGGCGCGTAGAATTCCGTCCATGCGAAGTTCAAATCACGGACTTCGAAAATGCCGCAATAGTTTGTTTCACGGTACTATTGACGAGAGTCATTCTGAGTTACAAGCTGAACCTTTTAATCCCGATCAGTAAGGTTGATCAAAATATGGTCAGGGCTCAGAAAAGGGATGCAGTAAAAGTAGAGAAATTTTGGTTTCGTCGTGATATTACCTCCGACATAAAGTCTGACAACACTCAATTGGAATACACCGAGTTTACGATCAATGAAATTATCAATGGAAAGGTGCTTATCAGACAAAAGATATATAAAAGTATTTTGCATGTTTTTTCTTTTTTTTTAACATTGCATCTATATGTTTAATTTGTATATTAATATAAATTTGCTCCTGTTTTCTACAAGAATCTCATAAATATACTTTATAAACGATAAATTTTATCATTCTTTACGTTTTTAGAATGGCGTTTTCCCTGGTCTTGTGCCACTTGTAAACTCGTATCTAGCTAACATGAATGTAGACGCTGATACACACTGCACTATCCAAAGATACCTAAAATTAATACAGAAACGAGCTTCTGGTGAGCTTTTAACAACTGCCGCATGGCTGAGAAAAGAGGTCACTTCGCATGCTGAATACAAGTAAGCAAATATATTCCTTTTTTTTTCGAACTGTCGGTATTGTTCCGTAAATACGATATCAAGATAATAAAATATTAAATGTAAAATTAGGCACGATGCAGTAATAACACAGCGCATCAATTACGATCTACTAAAGAAAATTGATAGCATCGTCTCCAGCGATATATCGTGTCCGGAATTACTCGGACAGTGTGTATCGTCTAAAACTACCGATACCATACCTGCTGCCGTAGCTAAAGCGGAAAAGTGTTCAACAACAAATTGTTAACGATAACGATGTCGAGACATTTCAGGTAAATCAGTAAATTTATACTTTTGTAACATTGTTACACATATATTTCATCCCGTTAACCTGCATATATTTACATAAGTAAAGTTCTGCGTTACTATTTTTAAATAAATAAAGAAATAGAGAATAGCGCAAAATATGAAGTTTCATAATTTTATATTTGTAATTTTATATTCCATTTGTTGTACATGCTACATCGCTTTTATTTACCAAATGTAAATGTATAATAGAGATAATGATTTTCATAATTTCTAACAAGTTCTAAAAGGTGGAAACACAGTATTGAGTATATGTATAGAAGGAAATGTTAGTATTGTTACAACGATAAACCAATGAACCCACATTCCACAAATTGCACCTATATTTGATTCATTCGTATCATTCGATACTATTCAAAAATTCACTAATTGAATAAATAACCTGACAGAAAATTTTTCATATAAGAACTTCATATAAATGATTTTTCTTCCTAGAGATCTCTTTGATAAGACAAAGCATATTTAAAAAATGTGCCACAAGTTACACTTTCAACATATTAGGAAGCATTAATTGATAACACGCGACATTAAAATTTTGTAAAATAATATGTACCTATAGCTTCTATATTTTTATATAATTTTAGAAGTCTATTTTACTGAACTAACCGGGTTTGTGATAAAAAATTATTTACGCAGGTATCACTTACAAAAACTTGAGTGAATTTCCATGTTTAAAGATTGCGCGTAAACGCAATCTGATTGTCCACGATTATTATCCTTATTATAAAGATAACTATTTTCGAGTAGGTATATCTTTGAATATTGTATGCAGTATTTCTGGATCATGTTAAGTAATATTAGAGTCCGTTTTTCTGTTTAGTAATACATACACTGAATAAATGTAATTGAATTAAAAGGATCAAAAAATACAAATATTTAAGTGCTAAAACACTAGCTAAAGTATTAGATAGTTCAATGAACAAATGTTATAAAAGAAAAGAGATTATATATGTATCGATAGATATGTACTTAAGATTTAAAAAAAATTGTACAAAAATTGTGCATATATTGATATATAGCTAGCCTTTGGAATATAGATTATACAGCATTAATTATAAAGTAAGACGATACGAATTAAAATTGTAAAATGAGAAAAAGATGCACATAAAGTATGCATATATATGCGCTAATAGTTTTCGCAAATTGAAATTACTTTAAGTCAAATTGTTATTATCTGAATAAAACGATAATATATCTGCAGGAGAGCTCTCAATTGTCCTTTCCATATAGCTGCTATCTTATATGTGATAGATACGTGTCTATAAAATTGTAATTTTATATTTTATTATATGTGATAGACACGATATCTATCACATTCTGTAATGTAATCATAATGATCGAGTTACCGCATCAAACGCGAAGTCATGTGATTATTTTCTTTACATTGTTTCGTTAATTTTTTTGCAGGCATATTTGATAGGATAATTTAGTAACGCATAGACTCATAGACACCCTTTCCGCTTTGTAGTTTAATAAATGCTGTAAATCGTGATTGTTAATAAAGCCCATTTTGGAAATAGCTGGGAATATATGAAGGATAGACTGAGTTATACGCATATTTACTGATAAAAAAAGGAATGCAGGATAATGAGAACGGTAATTAGAAAAAATACTAATTTATTTTAACTAATATAAAAAAACTTTATGATTCTTCGCTTTTGACAAGATTCAACAATGAAGAAGTAGTCTTCATATAAAATATAAAATACTGCTGATATTACAGAAATAGAATATATAATTCATTGTCGGGTGTACGGACATCGGAATATTGCTTTAATTATATTCCTATATTTATCATTCTTAATTATATAAAATTGTTATTGTTTATCCAAACTTGTTCTATACGAAATATAGCTGTTCCACAATAGAGCGACCGACTGTACAACTAGAGTTTGATAATGCAAAGGTACCAGAGAAAAGTTCACAAGTTGTACCATAGGCCACAGCTGGAACAGAAATGAGGCACTCGATCATGAAAAGAACAAACGAAAATTAAACCAATTTCTACGACATGCTGCGTTTGTTACCTTGTAATTATTCGTCAAGATATCACTATATTCGTTTGCCAGTTTAATTTTAATTCCCTCGATATCTTTCTTCTGGCAAATACCAATAGCGACTAGTAAAACCGCTATGAATGTAGGTGCAAAGAGCAATTGGTCGCAAGCAAGCTTTTTAATTACAACAGAGGGACCTTTAGAGCCTATATATTTATCTAAAACCCTATACCACGTTGTCGTTGTTGGACCCTAAATATTTTATTGATACATTTATAAGCTTTCGCTCTTATTGCTACATCCTATATATAAGAACTTATACTATTTAAATTATAAATATTTTGTCAAAATACGACCAAATTGAAGACCGAACACACTGGGAAACGTTTAAGAAATATTTGAGTGTTAAATACTATGTAACATTTTTTTGTAATTACTTACACTTATACACAAACCGATCCCAGTGAATTGCATTGTGCGTACAAAATCAATCTTTTGCGTATCGTTTATGAAATTCTGGGCGATCTGATCACCGAGTCCCATTAATATTCCTGCATATTCAGTTATTGTTAATAATGACAATAATTTATATCACGAAAATTAATCATAAATATTAAAATTGTGTCCTTTGTTTCATATTTTATGAAAGTACGCTCGTTCGACTGTCTTTTTGTGTAAAAGCAAAGATTAAAAAAAAAAAAAAATTTCGCCGCCTCGAGAATCGTTAGATTTTATATTTCGCGCGTTATTTCTATCATAGCGCAGGCGCCACAGACTCAGCGCATGCTCCCATCACTTCGTTTTGTCGGCACGACAGGGGATCTCCTAACCTTCAATTCTAAATAAAAGAATTTATAGAATTAAATTCTTAAATTTTTTATCATCTTCAATCATTAACCAAAAAATAAATACTCGGTTGACGATACGTTAAATACCCTCATAAAAAAATAGTCATCTCTAGCTTAATAACTGATCTTAGAGTAATAGGTGATTTTTATTTGTTCAAACCTTTATTTTTACACAAAATGACTTCGAATGAGCGCAGCGTTTCATCGAAATATAAGATAAGAGGTCTAAAACTCAACACGCTCATTCAAAAAATTGTTTGCATATAAAATACATATTAATAAGAACCGTGTAAACGTTTTTCTTCTGCGTGATGCGTGGGCGTGCATGCATTATAAATAAATTGTTGTTTACCAGCTTGCACCGCTTGCGTGCTCATAGGGTATTTACTCAATGTTCTTTGATAGAGTCTCTTTATACTCCACATAATTATTACGTCCCTCAACGACGCCAATTGCCGTTAACGCAGTTGTGTATACTTGTCAATGTACGTAAAACAATTTCAGGTAACTCGTCGAAATAATAACAGCGAGGAGCACAAATTAAATTCCGCCACAAATGTCACAGGGAATCACATGTCTGTAAACAACAAAGGCGGTAAAATCTCGACTGGGAGCTTAAAAATCGGGACAGCCCGCAACCGGTGTCTGTGTGACGTCTGTGATTGTGCGCAATTACGTAATCCAATTGACGCTCTAAGCACATATTAATTTGCAGTCAACTGATCACAATTTAGAACAAAACTTACGGTCGATTTTCATGATTTCTTTTTTCTTGCGTTTCCAGTACCTTCAACGACGTCACAGGTTACATTTTAGTGCATATAAATATACATAATCAAGTCTGTTCTGTTTGGCTGAACTTCCCGCATAGTTCATCTCTTTTTTTTCTCTTTTTTTCTCTCCAACGTGAAAATTAAGGGCCTACAGATATAGGATGCTTGATTTAAACTAAAATGAGAGAAAAAGAAGTTAAAATTCTGACTTGTGCATCTAAAACTAATTTCAATTATATAATTTTCTCCGAAATTTTTTGTAAATCATCAAAATTGAAATAGAAATATTTCAGGTAATTAAGAAAAATATCAGAATACCTATCTTGTATTAAAACCAACCTGTATTAACCTAATATAATTTCTGTGATCTCGTAATCCACATAATCTTTTAAAACGTTTGTCATGACTAATTTATCACGGCTTATTTCTTCATAATCATCAGAAAAATATTTATGATTTCAGAGGACACGTCGATTGATTGATTTACCGCAGAAACGAGACGCTGCGCTAATTTCCAATAATGCCAACGTCATTTATTCCTTTACTCATTTACTAGCAGTCCGCAGTAGGCAAGTTTCATTTCGCGAGCTCGCCCCCGCAAATTGTAATGGAATTTGATTGGCGTGCGCTCTCAAGCTCGACGAATCACCTCGACTCCGTCATTACCCACGGGATACGGGATTGAGGGAAAGAAAAAAAGAGAGAGAGACGTTTTTAATAATTTCCTCCCAATAGGTTCCTCATCTATCTGTTTTGTTCTCTCTCTTCCTCGCGTAAAGTGACAGTTTCGTTTCGTCATACGAAAGCATCGGGATATGCGCGACACGGTGCACGGTGGGATCGTTGTATCGCGTTCGCGGAGTCGGTAGATCGCTTTGAATTAACGAAAGTTGAGGTGAATTCCGAGATCGAGGCGGATTTTCGAGGGGCGCGAGCCGCGCGAGTGCCATGCCTCGGGAATCGTGGTATTCGACGATCGTCGAACGGAACGAGCCCGAGTCACGCGTATACGTCGCGTCTGACGTCTTGTGAACTGCGGGGAGCGATCTCTCGGCGCAACCTGTTTCTCGCTGTGTTTTAGGAGGAGAGCGAGAGTTGAAACGGATATTTTCCAGGATATACCATGCGTTGACTGTCCGTGAAACGTGAAGTCGCGTGCCGATTCACGTTTGCGCTGGTCGTACGTATCGTCGAAAGCCGTATTTCGATCATGCAGGTTATCGGTGTCTATTGACGTTCAATGGAATCGTACGTACGGTTAGCGGTGGAGTCGGACAGTGTTGTTTGATAGATTTGTTTAGCGAAAAAAAAACACGCAACTGGAAACGCAACGTGGAAGCGCCATGGAGAAGTTCATGATCGACTTGGACAAGGTCCTCAATGACTTTGAATTCAACGAAGGTACGAATCCTCGAGAGAAAAGGCCTACTTGAACGAGTTTCGGATGGATTCTTTGTACACTTGGAAGTTTTAAGCGCAAACTCGAACAAAAAAATTTTCTATATTTTTTATTTATACTTGAATAAATTTTAAGAATTCTTATATTTGAATATTTTGAAATTGTACTTTTTGTTCGAGTATAAATTTCAACAAAAAGTACAGTTTGCTACGCTTGAATGAGAAAGTATACTTGAATAAATTTCAGGAATTTTTTCTATGTTCAAAGAACCTTGTATTTAAATTAGAAATATACTTTTTTATATCATCTTTTTCTTTAAATAATTGAATGAGCAAGTATAAATAAAAAGTAGGAACTTGAACAAGCTTTAAGAATCCCTTTAGAACCTTCCATAGATATATTTCTTTTAATTTGTAGAGCATAGAACTTTATAGGAAGTTTCTTTTCATATAAAATTACCTTTCGAATAGATGTACGTGTGTTGCGCTGAAAAAAATATGTTGTATACAAGTTGTTTCAAATAAAAGTCTAGTAAAATTTTATTCAATTATTTGCAGATTGCGCGGAGCAAATAGCGGCAGTCGCAACTTCTGCGATCGATGCGTCAGTTGTGGAAAAGCGTGCTAACGAATCCGTGCCTCCGAAAGTGTACAGCTTTAATCCCGAGAAAGGCGACGTGGCACCGACCGTCGAAAAATACAGGGACACTCGGCCGATGGAGGTCGACTCCAAGTATACGCTAGTGGAGAAGAATATAGTATTTATATCGGACAACAAAGATTCCGTGAACAATTTCTATACGCACGACCGTGTCAACGACATCACGACCGGGCAGAAATCATGTGTTCATCCTTATGACTCTGATCAAGTGTCTTCGGCGGCGTACGGTGATGTATCTCAAAACTCGATGCAGAAACAGCAGGGTGGTGCGAGCAGCGATTCGAAAGACGGCGATAGATACGACAAGAAATTGAATCAGCCGAACTTCAAGCCCAGCATCAGCAATGTGTTTAATAGTTTGAACGAATATATTAATGCTCCCACTGGAAGCTTGAGTTACGTCGAGCCTATGCTGGATACGGTAGACGATTTGTCTAAGAGGTCCATGGACGATTTAGCGGAGAAGGATTTTAGGTCGAACAGAGACGTGACGATTAACGAACGTTCAATCCCGATGGAGAAAGGTGTAACGAATGCCGTGGTCGACAAGATTACTGTAGACCATAAAAATGTTTTACCGGTTGAATTGGGCACGTTTGTCCAAGTTGAACCTAGTAACAAACAGGATAATATAATGCAGAACGTTATGTTTTATCATTCTACTACGATGCGGTCTGAGGAAAATAACGGCGACGCTATAATTCCTGTATCAAACACGGCCATCTCGAGACGTAATGACATTACGATAAATACGGAACTGTCCAGTAATAAAGACGATGTTGATAAAAAGGTCATGGTTAGCGACGCGTTTAAAGAAAATTCTGATAGCATCATTAGCAAACAACGGCAGTTGGACTTGGATAATCGAGAGCCCGTCGGCGAGTACACATTTGTCGAGAATAAGGAAAGCATAGCGGAGAATACCGCAATGTTGGATAAGACTGTAACGAGCAGCGAAGATCATGATAAAAATGTAGAAGCAACCAAGAGCGACGTCTTCTCTAGCATACATATGACTCATACAATTGATACCGGCGATGATTTTTCTGAAGAAGAACTGAACCAGTATTTGTTAGAGTTAGAGAACGAAGAGAGATCCAAGACAGAAAATACATCGCTTTCGGATAATACCTGGTTGCCGCAGTCACATGACGAATTGAGAGGTGACGGAGAAGAAAAGAGTGCGAGTCGGCGAGATGACGAGGATGTTAACGAAGCGCCGATATTCGAGAAAATTATGATAGGCGAACTTCCGAAGATATCGCAGGAGGAGTTTCAGGAGAAGACGAAAAAATTTCCCGTAATTGATTATAACACGGATATATGTAACGAAAATATAACGGATGTAAAATGTAATAAATGTATTGAACACGCTTTAAGTGAAAAAAGTAATCAATTAAAGGATATACAAAGTAATGAGCTAGACAAAACGATAAAAGATTCCCATGTGATCGAAACGATTGGTCAGGATGTAGCGACACAAGATAGCACCCTGCAAGCTATGTCTAGTAATGTCATCGCCGTTCAAGAGAAAGTCCCGTCAAAGTTCGAAAATATCGGAGAACAGTTTTGCAGTAACGGCACACAGAAATTACAACAAGATTCTAATAGAGATACTCTGTCGCAGGATGACAGTAGTGGTACTTTATTAAATTTATCAGAAAACAAAGAAGATCACGACGAGAGAGTGTATTGCCAAGATATTGCTGAAAATAACAAAGATGTTGTACATGAGACTAGCGCACATGACGGCGAGGAGATCTCTAAAATGGAAACCGCATCTAAAATCAGCGATACTTGTATGGCCCCTCATACGAAGGAAAGTGATCAGGAAGCCGAAAAACCGACCCGTCCCCAGACACTTGACATTGTATTGACGCATAATACAAGTGACTCACATTCACAGACAGGTACCTATGTCTCTTTAATGTTTTATTTTTTAATTTTCTTTGTTGGTCTCCACTCACAAATTGCCACTATCGCATGTTCTTCAAAGCCATAAAAAGTCAGCTTCAATTTTCATATTGAGTAAACAAGTAATATTATAACAGAATCCTCGAGTTTTGTACCAGAAGAACCGGAACACTCAGAAATCAGTGGCACTGTTGACGAAGATCGCGGTGCTTCGTCGGATGTTTCTGATAATTCTTTAGTCGAATGTAACCCAGTATTGGGAAAACAGCCTCCGTTTTGGATTCCGGATAGCGATGCACCTAGTTGCATGTTGTGCGATGTTAAATTTACTGTACTTAAAAGGCGTCATCATTGTCGTGCTTGCGGTAAGGTACGTATTTATTGAGTTTAAGGAAAAATTTAAAAAACCCAGTCATTTAGTTGTCCTATTAATTGATGTATCACGCAGTATGATTTATCGTTTTATAAATTGATTTTCTCTTCCAAACTTGTAACATTGCATTAGCTTTTCTTTTGCGTAGCGAAATTAAATATTAAAATTTACAACACATTTTGCAGGTACTATGTAACAAGTGTTGCAATATGAAATACAGATTGGAATACCAGTTAAATATTGATTCCCGTGTTTGTGTCTCGTGTTATCATCTACTCACGAAAGGTAAAAAGAAATAATCTTAATATACAGCATATCTCAATATATATAATCACTTGAAAAAAAAGATGATGGTGTTCTTGGACTAACAATGTATTTGCTTTTTCAGCAGAGAGCGAACAGGGAATAGGTGATTGGTCAGCTGGCTATAATTCGTATACCGATTGTAGCGATATTAATTCCGTACAGGTATGTTATTTATTTGTGGATTGATTTTTTTGTATCAACAGCTGTAACGAAACTGTAGCTGTAGGAGCAGCTATAAGGGCCTACTTGAAAGAATTGCCCATTTGTTAACGAAACTTAAAAAAAAAAAAGAAGCTATTTAAATTCATATTAACAAATCACTTTTATGATTTCATCTGTTGAATTCCCCCGAATAATACTAACTTTTTAAGCATTACATGAACATTAATATAAGCCTAATTATAAATACCTATAACAACTTGTTGAATACTTCTGTTTGAATTTTATGCTTTACTTGTGCAGACAATTTATGTATATCAAAAACAGATTAAATTAACAAATATATTGATAACCAAAACTTTAATACATAAATTGGTATTATATCGTAATGTTTTTATTTTGATAGGGAATTTTCGGAATGTATATTTGCATCGGATTAGAAATGCTTTGCCAGATTTATAATCCTTTTTTTTTTTAATATGATACACATAAATGAAAATATATTTTCCTGAGAAATAAATTTATTATTATTATTTTTTTAATACGATATATTGATATTTTGCGGATAATTTTGTAAAACTTCACGTAATATAATTACTTGAAACACGTAATGCTTTGTTCTCCATTTCATTATTTGGCATAGTATATTTAGTATGATTTCAAATTATATTAGCAGAAGAAAATCCATTGATTCGCTTAAATATTTAATAAATACATATACTTCAGATAGTTTTATAATACAGAATACATGACTAATTAAGATGCTTGATTCTTTAAGACAAGGAAAGATATAGATTATTATCAATTGTGTTTAATAAGCATTCTTATTATTGTTTGTAATGTTTATTTTGTGTTGAGTTACACTATAGTAGTATATATGATTTATAGCTTCTCTTGGATTTTAAACACATTTTATTTGTTTTTTTAGCAAAGTATGCATGTCGTTACAAAAGTAAAGCATGTTTTGTTTGAGCTATTGTGCAATAAAATATAGTCTGCTTTGTATCGTGATTATTTCTGAAGTCCAGCAAACACATGACGAGTACAAATAAAATGAAGTGTATGCTGTTCATAATCGAATTAAATTACGTTAATTAATAAAATTGAATCTGCGATGATAAGATCTGATCATCAAAAGTAATACTTACACGAATAGCAACAAGTGTTTAAAACGTTTAAAACAATCCTTCAAAATCCATCGATTTCTTAATTATTTCTTAATAATGAAACTATTCACAGTTACAAACATCGATTTTCCTAATCTCTCTTAGAACGATAGAGATTCCCTTTACCAAAGTTTACTGTAAAAACGTTAAAAGAGAATAATCGTATTTCTTTTTGTATACCTGACTAATAAATGTGTTTGCTGAACAATTAAACAAATGTCGATGTTAGAAGTATTCGACAAATGGTTATAGGGGAGACAGCCTAATCCAAATAATCCCATGGAGTACTGTTCAACTATACCACCCTTGCAACAGTTAGCCGGCGGTTTGCCGCCACCACCGACGGTGATGGTGCCTGTGGGCGTTCTTAAAAGAGAGGGTTCGAAACATCGTGCAGAAGGACAGAAATCCGTAATGTTCAGTGACGGTAGGTAATTATTACTTACAATTTATTAATGTTATTAGTGTTTTTAATTCATTCTTTCTCCTTCTCTTTCTCTTTTTCTCTCGTTAATGCTAAGTAATTCTAAAGTAATTATCTCTATCTCGTAATAAATATATACACCTTAAATTACATAATGTACAGATTTACATATTAGCTATAATTTTTATATATCGTAAATTCATGAACGTACTGGGTATGCTGAGTATACATAATTTATTCTTGTTATGTACAATTATTCTACAGAATGAATTAAGTTTAACATTTCTGTCATTGGACGAGATCTTATGCCGAATAAATGCTCTTTGAACGAGCGAATAATAAGACACCGTTAAGATAGAGCTAGACGTATTAAGATTCGAGTCTACTGTCTCTGAAAATACAGAATTCGTGTCATGACTGAAGTGATAGATCTCACAATAAATGAATATGAAGGAGAAAAGATTTATAAGATGTTCATTATTATCAGTAATATCGTACACCAATTTAGTAATGTAATATTTTCAGCTTTGACTGGTAAGATTACGTTTCAAGATTGTATGAGATAAATCGGCGCGTGATGCGAGGCTTAAGGCAAATATATACAAAGTATTTAAGCATAAAATTCCGCCCGATGATCGGAAAATGTCAAATTTCTTTATTACGTGTGTTACACACACACATATATCGGTCGCTATTTACTTCTTCAAGGTATAATTAAGTATACAATTATTTCCTAAATCGTACACACATACTTTTTCCTACTATATATTTTTTCGTTTCGTCTTGTTTCTGTTATTCCTTTGTCCAAACACGTCCCATGTAAAATTATTAATTCAAAGTACGTCCAACGCGAAATTACTACTTGTTTATTTTTGCCTTTCTGGAACATGTCAGTACGTTGACAACTCGCCCTTCCCCAGCCTATCCTGTTTGTTTTATTTTTACGCACCTATAACTAAAACACAGGAATAAGGCCTGGCTGTGACCTGACAGAGCTAGACACGTGTTGGGACCCAAAGCCACCGTACCGCAAGCAGGGAACTAAACGGATTTTTGCCACGGGATCTGCGGACACTGCAACGAGAAGGCAGCATCATCATCCTCCTCTAGACAATACGACCAATAGTTATATTCCACATGATTCTAATTTATTGCCTCCGACTGTCACGATACACAAAGGCCGTAAGGATGTTATATAAAAGTATTCATAGTTGTAGTAACTTACATCATTCATATTATCGCTTCATTTTCTTTCTTTTTATCGTAACCAGATATTACATACCATCCACCTATGGACGAAGGTGTGCTCTATAAAACGCTGAAAAACGAATGCGAACCGTCGGTAATGTTCGCGATTAATCGGAATCTTTATGCATATGTGAAGATAACTAATTGTAAGTGTAAAGAAATTATACTGCCGGTATATGTGTAAGAAACTTAACGTTCTCATTCACATAATTCGCAGTAAATTGCTGCGTAAACAAGATCTGCTGGAACGTGACGTCGAGAGGTCTTGCTTGCATCGGTCAGGACGAAGTTATTTTATTAGTCGAGGTTTTACCAGATGAAACACGGATTCCAAAAGATCTTCTGATATATATCAATCAATTATATCTCGAAGCTGTTAAAGGTATAATATCTTGTATATGTATATACGTCAATTACATAAATTTAGTTGATATCTTAATAACAGCGCACAATATTCACAATATTCATACTTCATATTGCAATAAATTATTTCTATCCTGTTTGTCTTTTTTCAGGTAATACAATGACGGAACTCGGTTTCTCGGTATATCAAGGCACCAACCTGTTGGGCTCGCGCGAGCATGCGGGTTTTCTTTTTATTCGCCAGACATTGCAGTGCTTGCAAAAGATAATTTTACCGCCCGCACCTTTTTTGATTGGACTTTTGGTTCACAGGTGAATATAATAAAATTTCGCTCTGAGTAAAATTTAACTTTTTTTCTCTGAATAGATCCATGTATTCTACAAATTGTTTCATATGATTCCATTTATTTGACAACTATAATTTCACTTATATCTGTTGTTGATTTTAGGTGGGAAACCCCGTGGGCCAAAGTATTCCCATTAAGGCTTCTTTTACGTCTCGGAGCGGAATATCGTTATTATCCTTGCCCATTGGTGTCCGTACGTTTTCGAAATGCGTTATATTTCGAGATTGGGCACACTGTCATGAAAGTATTAGCGGATTTTAGAAATTTCGGCTATACTTTGCCAGGAGTGAGGGGCTTAACAATTCACCTTAAAAATCGTACGACAGACGTTATGTTCCCCAAGAATCGATATGACCAAGTTATAAAAGGACTTCATAATTCGAATGATCATGTCTTAGCTTATGCCTCAAACTTTAGCATAACCGCGGATTCACATTTAGTTTGCATACAAACGAATACTGGTGATGAAAGCAGTTACCAAACGCAAGCGATAAATATTCACAACAAGCCAAGAACAGGTGGGTTTGTAAGCAAAAAATTTCTGCTGATGACATGGAAATAACTGTTTTTCTATTATATAGTAACCGGCGCCAGTTTCATTGTCATCAATGGTGCTCTAAAATCTTCAATGGGACTTTCTGCCAAGTCCAGTATCGTTGAAGATGGATTAATGGTAGAAATAATGCCAGAAAAAATGGAAGCTTTGAAAGCTGCTCTCAAAAATATGCAAGATTTTTCAATCGGTTGCGGACGCCAGGGAGCACCGGAGCCAGACGAGACTGTAAATATAAAGTGGGTCGAAAACGACACGCTGTTTAACCTGGGGTAAATATTTTCGATAAATTTTAATTATTATTATTATATTTGAGATATTTGCATAAATTTTGCCAATATTTGTTCCTTTCTTCCTTTCCTTCTTTCTTTTTTGATCTTCCTCCTCTATCTCATTTTCTTCCTCCTTTTTTCTCTTTCTTTCTCTCTCACACGAGTAAAACAAATTTTTGAAATAAGAGCTATAATATATATGCAACATATTAATATACTTCACATGAAATTGTACATTACGAACTTTAACTCTTGCCTCAATATTGAACACATTAAATAAACAGCGATCTTTCATTACAGTGTTAAAAGTCCTATTGATGGACAATTAATGGATGGTATACCATCTATTAGAGTACATAATGGCATTGATTATAAAGGTGCAAGCCGATTCATACGCTGGACAGAAGTATTCATTATAAAAGTATGTATGCCGTTACAGAGAAGTATCATTATTTTAAATACATATGTGT